TGAATCCCTGCTTCAGCAGAGCTCTCAGAGGTGTTATCTGAAGGTTTTTCTTTGGATTAGCTCCAATTTTAGTTATTAATGGAAACGTGGCTAGATTAAATTCCTATTAATTTTTGTTGCTGTTGTTATAGGGCATGTGCACTTGCCGGAGAGACAGAGAGACAAAAAGCGAGAAATCACTCCCCAGGAGGATGGCCATGCCACAATCCCCCCTCCTCCACTCTCCTCTCAGGATTTTGGGCACACAGGCACACATGCCTGACATGAGTTTTAAGATCCCAGGTCCAGGACTCCAACTGTGGTCCACTACATGGAACAGCAATGTAACCATTATGCCATCTGCTGGTCCCAATTCCTATTAGTTTTACATGAACTTTTTTTAACTTACCAAACACAGAACAGAGATTAAGAGTGAAATAATGAGAAAATTTAGGATAGGATAATAACCATTACACATTAATAGTTGGATAGAAAGCTGAACATCCATGGAAGAACAGGAACAGGACAGTGCAACTGCTGTTTTACTCACTGGGATATTCTGAGCTTTTTGACTTTGAGGATATTTAATCACATCCGCAAAGTCTTGTTTGCCATGTATAGTAACATATTCACAGGTTCTAGGGATTAGTGAGTGGATATTTTATGTGCGTTTTTGTGATGAGGCTAATATTCTGCCTACCAAAACCTCCACTGACTTCTCTTTATTCCTTACACTTCCCAAATACTACCTGCCCAAGGGCCTTGGCATATCTCTGTTCTACCAGGCTCCAATTTATTTCTCCCGTCTTCATAAATATTGCTCTCTACACAGAGGCCTTCCATCTCCTGGCAAAATGTCCCTTTGCTTCAGAGACTGTATCAGAACTTAAATTATACACTACTGATGTGGCTGTTCAATTTCTGTGTCACCTCTAAAGTGTAAATATCTTTAGGGCAGGGACTATGACTTTCTGGTTTACCCATGTGACCAAGCACCTATACGACAAAAGATACTCAAGAAAAACTTGTTGGTACGCAAAGAATAAAACTGAATAAAAAGGGGTAAGGGAATGTGAGGATCCAAGTTGGGTCTGGTCTCCTAGGCACGGCATTGTAATGTGACTCCGATTCTTTTTTAACTTAGTGGACCGGTAAAGAATGCTGGCTACTGAAGGGCTTCCGTTTTGCTTTATTTTAGTCTTCCTAGGACTTGTTTCGTAAACTATTAGACTGGATATTTTAAGTGCAGGAGCTGTAAGGTTCAGATGAGGATTTCAGCCCGGAAATACGGAAGTCTAATTTTTAGATGTCCACAATGTTGTCTTAGATGACCTCCAAGGAGTCCTGGGAAGCTGTACATAGTTGAATTTGTTGCAATCTACCCTTGGGGAGCAGATCCAGCATCCAGTGGGACAGATACTTGATAATCAGTCTGCAGAGCTGGAGCCCGGAGGGAGCAGTTGAAATGCCCAAGGTCGAGGCTGCATCTCAGAGAGTCTGCAGGAACCAGGACCAGCAATGCTGTTAATCAGAAGGCAAGGTCCATGTTCTCTCTAAATATCACAGGCAGATAGGACTTCTCAAACAACGAGTCCTTACCATGCAACTCTATTTAAAATAATAAAGGCAGGCTCAATTCCACTAACCACTCTGCTTTGTCTACTCCAGAGTCTCACAGCAGTCACATTAGTGACCCTCTGGAACCACATGATTCCTTGCAGTGGGGACTGCCAAATGCAATGAAAATGTTCAGTAACATCTCTGGTCTTTACCCACTAGAAACTAGTAATACATTACTGCTGACAATGGTGGGAACCAAAAATGTCTCCAGACATTGCCTAATGACCCCAGAAATGGGAGCAGGGGTGGGGACTTCATCTCTAGTTGAGAACCATGGGTGTATTCTACCAATCTCAGGGCAACCTTCCACAATCTTTTCTAGCCTTCAGACACAGTACATGCAAGACAAATAATGTTTCCAATGCTGATAAATTCCCCATGATAAATTAAAATGTCCTTATTTTCATTCTCGTTTCTTGAATAACAATGTTGTTATTTAAATAAATAAATCAAGCCTGAGATGTTCAAACAATATAAAAAAAAAAAAAAACCCAACAACAACAAAACCTCAGAGATAGCTGGTGTTAATAAAGAGCTCAAATAAAACAAAAATAAAACATTACAGACATGTTTTAGGTAAAAATGAGCAATTTCCCTGTTCATATTTTACAGTTGATTCAGTTACCTTTAAACTCTGAAATGCAAGTTCCTTCAAATATACCACTAAGTAATTTAACATGTTTATGACACTTTAAGAAAGCACGCTATGAACCAGATGGGCCTTGATGAGTAACCCAATTAATATAGGCAGCCTAACCATCTGACATTATTTAAATGGGGGAAAAACAAATCCAAATAACTTGGTCAAACAGTAAGTCTGGGTATTGTAGCTGCCATTTCTAATTAGCTTCTGAATTTAATGGCTCTCTTTGAGTAAAGGAGAACTGAAATATTCATTTCAAGTCATAAAGTTTAAAAAGAATATAAATCAATCCTATGCATTTTTCCAGAATCATGTGTAAGGAGGAGACAGGCCATTTTGGCATGGGGAAAATGACTATGAATGAGGCTGAGGTTCCTCGTTCTTAACTCCAGAGGTTTTCTTTTCCAAGGTAGCTGCCAGATTAAGTTTTCAAGTTTTCAAGCACAAGTCTTTTGTCCAGAACAACATTAAGTGAACAAATGGCAACCCAATACTAAGACAAAGAGGCTTCAGAGCAAAACTATCTGGACACAAACTACCCCTTCAATTTACAGTGCCAATTGAAACTCGTCAGCAAGGCCAGAAGGGAAATCCCACACTTAAAAACATGATGTAATTTTGCTTCTAGGAATGAAGTTTTCCAAGTGCAAATAAAGCTAAGACTTCTAAGAAATTATTCATTCCATTTATTTATTTATATATTTAATTTTTTAATTATTATTTTTTTTGGAGACGTTTTTGCTATAGGGTGCGTATGCTTGCCAGACAGACAGAGAGAGAGAGACAGAGAGAAAGAAATCACCCCCCAGGGGGGATGGCCACGCTGCAATCCCTTCTCCTCTCAGGATCTTGGGAACGCACACACACGCGCCTGGCGAGAGTTTAAGCCACTGGGTCCGGGACTCGAACCGTGTTTGACTACGTGGGAGTCCAGCAACATAGCCATTACGCTAACTGCTGGTCCCTATTCATTCCATGTAAAGAATGGAGGAGAACCCATTAAGTAGGAACCCTACTCGTGAGCCAGAATTAAGATGACGAGGACAGGAAGGTGATCACATAGAAGAGTTCAAGAGAATTTTGTACTGAGAATTGTCAGCTAAATAAGAAAAAATATATAAAATGATTTCTATAGTTGTTATCTCTAATTTCTCTATGAATACTGGATAAGAAACAAATCTAGGAGTCAGCAGGTGGTGTGCTGGTTAAGGGCGCTGGACTCCAAAATGGACATCCACAGTTCAAGTCTCAGACCTGGAGGCCTGCTTTCTTACCTTCCCTCCCTTTCTCTCAGTCTCTCTCTGGTCAAATTAAAAAGTAATAGGGACCAGCAGTTAGCGTAACAGCTATGTTGCTGGACTCCCACATAGTCGACCGTGGTTCACGTCCTGGACCCGGTGGCTTAAAACTCACGCCGGGTGCATGTGCGTACGTGCCTAAGATCCTGAGAGGAGAATGGAGGAGAAGGGATTGCGACGTGAACATCCCCCCTGGGGGGGTGATTTCTCGCTTTCTGTCTCTCTGTCTCTCTCTGTCTGGCGAACGCACACACCCTATAGCGAAAACCTCTCCAAAAAAAAAAATTAAAAAGTAATAATAATAAATAAAGGGAAATAAAATAATATTTAAAAAATAAATCTATATGTCAAATAAGCATCTGTAACTGGAAATTCTATTGAATGTCTCATTTTATAGAAGTTCTTCACCTACGGTTCAATAGTACCTAGTGGATCTGTGAATGGGCTTGAAGAGGCAGGGAGAATGATGAAACCCTGTAAGTTATACCCAAACCTACATGCATTTTCTTTATGAAGGGATCCCAAGTATTGATCACACGATCAGGGCAGGGCATGACTTAATGGAGGTTATCAAACAGTAAGCGTTGAATATTCTGCATGGTCACTTGGCTACTTTCATTCAAACATGATACCACTTCAAAGCCACTCCATGCCTGAGGACCATCGCAGGCTGGAACTGCACTCATTTAGTTTTTACACAAACTTGCAACGCTTAAAGAATATTCACATGTTGATCATGATGAAAGGAAAAAAAAAAAAAAACAAGATTATCCAAGAAAGGGGGATGCTGTAATTATTCAATATTAATCAATGCATTAGAGATGTGCTCTGTCCCTCATCTTGGCTCAAAGCAGATAGACACTAGCACACGGGCAAGTACACCCACACCCTTCTTCCACCCAGCAGCACAACCTGTGAGAAGACCAACACAGGGCAAACAAAATGTCACCATCGATCTGAGTCAAATTAACTGACTTCTATCACCAGTCGTCACAGATCCTTTCTAAACAACAGTTGGCGGGAACCAACCAACCTTAAAACAACTTTACTATTAAGAGAAGGTTTGAAAGCTCCTCTTCAGATGTTCAGTAACTATTTTTGTTTTCTAAATGGTGAAAAGAAAGTCATCCATGTTTCATAAAAAATGTCATCTTCCAAAAACAGGGTTTCAGAAGTGGTGAAAAGAAACCATCAAATGAAACCAAAGATGAACCTCATCAACCAGGGGGGAGCATCCTCAAACCATGAGGCCTTTCACTTCTGGATGTTTCTCCAGCTGAACTAAGATGGGAAACGAGGATAGAAATCCAGCTGCCCTGCTATAAACAAAGGATTCTCAGAGACACAAAGTTAGGTACAGCCCAAGCTTGATTTGCAAAGTAAGTGAGGACAGGGATGTAGCAGATGATTCATGTAAAGACCCAAAGCATAGCCACTTGGAGATCTAGAGGTTCTCTCACCTCCACAGGGAACCTCCTGCCGTTGATGCTGTGTTCGGAGCCTGCTGAGCCATTGCTGTGACCCCAGTGAAATTCCACCTTCTCAGCTTTGAATCTGCCAGGAAGGCCAGCGCCGCTCACAAAATAGTCATCTTTCAGCAG